TTATCATGCAGCACTCCATGCATCACCGGCAACAGCGCAAGAAGAGCAGAAAAGGCGAAAGCTTCAAAGCGCACCTGCGGTCCCTTGCCCACAGTCTTAGCTGCGAAGGACACTTGCCGATAATGCGGCTTCGGGTCGCTCTGCGGCGCCGTGATCCCCGGATTAATGGCAGAGACTCACTTCAGTAGTCGATCGCCGTCATTGCGGCTGCTTTTGCTGTTGTCGTGCCTTCGTTTGGCAAGGTCGTGAGATGGGCGAATGATGGGCTAGCCTCCGACGTGAATCGAAGGCAGCAGGACCTTGGGCACATGCACATCCGAGCTCACCGGCTTTCTTCGCAATAACGCCCTAGGCCGAAACGTGCTTTTCTTCCAGTGATTCTTGGCTCAAGATCCGGACAACTCTCGCAGGGCAGTTGCCTGAGGCATGGCTTCTTCTTACTCCTGCGGGGGGCGAGGGACCGTGACCATGGACGAGGAACGAAAGCAGGTGCAGAGCCGGTACACTACTGTAAGGGTGCATGTTTTCACTCCTAGCAGTCCTAGCATTGCTGTAGTCGCTTGCAATTATTCGGATTGGTCCAAAGTCCTACTTAAATCTGTGCACGACAGCATCCACCTGAAGCCAACCTTGCCCATCGCCTCGCCTGGAGGCCACCTGGCAGCTGACAGCGGAAGATCTGCAAGGAGCGTCCAGTGGCCGCTATGTCCATGTGGAAGCCGACGCCAGCAGCTTTTTCGGAAGCGCCAACATGCAACTCACGCATTTACTTCTCTATCCTCGCGGAGGCTGTGGTGGCCCAGATGGCCAGGCCACTGTACAGTGTCGCCTCATCGGAGATCAAGCTGCATTCGTGTGGGTCCGCCTGGGCTCGACGAACCAGGTACCGTTACTGGCGCACCCAGGTCGATGGACTGACCCAGCGCATCTCCCGCAGCCAAGCCTGTCGTCGACTTGGACCGTCACCGTGAGAGTGTTCTCCAACGCGGAATTCCATTTAGAATTCCAGCACCAGATGCAAGAGCTAACAGTGGCCCGGGATCAGGAGCTCGCAGCAGCCAGGGCAGCCCGAAGGGAGACTGCACAACTCCGAGCTCTGATGGACACAGCGGCCGACGTGGCCGACGGTACGGCCCAGCGTCTGGCCGCGGCTGCTGGGAAGATCCAGGCCTCCTTTCGGAAGTCTGTCTTCCGTCGGCGCGTGAAGGCGGCGCTGGGCGCGATGGCGAGGCAGCAGCGACACGTGAAGCTCACGGCTGCCGCTTCCTGTGTCCAAGCCCTCTGGCGAGCCAGGCAGTTGCGCAGAGAGCGCCGTCGGCAGGAGGATGTCCGCTGGGCATCGGCCACTCACTACGATGCGATCCTCGCTTTCGACTCTTTATCCGAGTTCCTCTCCACGCGAGAGGTCTGCTTCTTGAAAAACGTGGAATCCAAGTTGGACGTGGTCCAGCAAGGGAACTTTCGCATCGTGGCAGTGGTTGGTCTCTTTGACAAAGGGAAGACATGGCTCTTGAACAAGCTCTTCGGTGTGAACTTGCCCTCTGGAAAGCTTCACACCACCAAAGGCTTGAGCTTCCTTTGGGTGGAGGACCGCCGGATGCTGATCATTGACTCTGCCGGTGTGCAATCCCCGGTCTCCTACCGTGCGCAGGCAGTCGATGCGATTTGGGATGCGCGCAACACCGAGACGCTGGTCCTGGAAATGATCTCTCGCATCGCTCATCACATGATCTTCGTGGTAAGTGACACTACGTGGTTCGAGCAGCAGAAAGTCGCCGAATTGCACCAGAAGTACGTGCAGCGCCGGCAGCACAGAGAGCTGATTGTTGTTCACAACTTGAGCACAACCTCCCAAGTGGAAGTTGCACGTGCCCTGTTTGAGCGGCAGGTCACACGGTGCTACGATGGTGTTCCGTCGCACTTGGGCGACTTGATCTTCACGGCGGATGCTGGCGAAGGGACACCTCCGGTACACCATATTGGACTGTGCCAGGAGTATTCAGCAGCCGGGGACAGGTTCAATGGCAAGAACAGGGAGTACCTCTTGCAGAGCCTGGAGCATGGAAGCATCCTGGGTTCGCATTTAGCCCTTGCAGAGACGTTCAGCGCGGAGTTGTCCAAGCTGATGCCGAAGTTCGCCAGCATCGAAGCAGGCGTGCCTGAAGTGGCCGCCAACACGACTGGTGCTGCGACGCAAGCGATCTCTGTGAAGTTCTGCACAAGAGCCGAGGCGACAGAGGGGGAGACTGGGATGGCCGGCTACATG